CCCGTTCTTAAATACATTATCCCAGAGGTGCTGCTACTGTTGCTGATGGGCTCAGCCTTGGCCAGCGGTGGGTCAGTCTTGGAGCCGGCTGGCATTGGTTCTGTTGGACATGGGGGGGAAGCTTCTAGCAGCTTCTTGCAGAAGCCACCCCTGTAGCCCCCCTGCTACCAAAACCTTGTCACGCAAAGTAAATACATGTGTAAATATATATGTCAAGTTCTCAAAGTTCTCTCCATGTCCCTTGTCATTTTTCTGCAACTCCCAACTGGTGTTTCAAGGAAGCAACTTTCTGTTTCTAATATGTAAAAAAACTATTCGCATTGCCTTTATATGGCTAAATCCTCTTGTCTGTCTTATATCAGTGTTAGAGGAAATACTGTTCACAGGTTAAGGCATTTATGGTGAAATGTATTATAAGATGCCTGTCTTAATGCAAAAGGATGAATATGATTTAAATTGTCATCTGAAGAGTAGACAGTCTTCTCACAGGAAATTCAGTATGCTTCATCTCAGTGCAAGCACAGTTACAAGGATTCAGAGTTTTCTCCAAAGGCCAATTTGCTCATGTTTTGGCAAGGACCTTCTATCTAGACACCATTAGAAGGACCTGTATTCCTCAATTAAATGGGTTGAACCCGGTTTTAAGTTGGGATTTTTGTTTCTGCAATCCGCTCTGAAAGCGGGAAGTTAGGTGACATGAATTAAGGAAACTATGTACATATAGGAGGGAGAAAACTGAAGTATTACTATACAAATGGAGGTATTGTAGCCTAGCCCTGGAAAGGTGTTTTATTGTTTGTTTTAAACACAGAAGACTCTAGGAGTCATCTGTAAGCCTTCATTTAGTTACTAGCTTCATTTTCCCCTATGTAAGTCCCTAGGGAGATAAAGGAGAATCAGTGCAAGGAGATGGACTAGTTAGATCCCTGTAGCATATTTCTGCTGCTCTTTTCCTGATGAGACGGCAAACTACTGTTCTGAGCACTAAGTGCTGCCCTGTCGGCTTGAAGGAAGCAGGTTGTTGCTGCCACCTGACTTGGAGCTGGGCTGCTTCTTCCCCAGCCAGTGGGACAAGGGTGTCGGAGGTTTAGAAGGAAAGGAGAGCTGCCTTGCTCTGCAGAAGCTGTGGTGACCACCACTTCCAGTCTGCAGCCAGTGGATGCTTTGCTTTGGGTTACTGTTTGCCCTGTCTTTATGAGCAGCAGGGTGGTTTCTGGCCGGCACAGGGGTATGAATTCAGTTGCCAGCAAGAAGGGAGGATGTACAGAGCTGCTGCTGGACGCTGGCTGCTAAATGCCAGGAGAAGGATAGGGGAAACAGTTCAAAAAAACAAAAGGGGGGTGGGGAGAAAAAAAAAAAGTGCTCCCTCCGCTAATAAGAACCTCTAATAACTAATACTAGTAAGGTAGAAAGTAATGATATGTCTTTTATGTCATCTTTTTCATCATATGGTTTTAGCAATTGTGTTCAGGGTGTTGCAAATTAAACTCTTTAGGTGGTAACCATTTTGCTGATTTTTACTCACTATCTGTCTAGTCATGAAATATTTACTAGAATTTAACTTAAGAAAGGCCTTAGTCTTTTCAGGAATTCTCTGCAGTGTCTCCTCCAGTTTACAGGGAAAGGAAGAGGAGATGAACTTCATACATTGATTTTTATTTATTAGAAGGACTTTGTTGCTCCATTTCGCCTTCTAGCCTATGTTTTTTCCTCTGTGTAAGGGGATATGGTTTTTCAGGTGGAGGCTGCCACTAACAGAAGCTTTAAGTGACTACCATTAACCATTTTTCTGATCTAGAAATAATTACTGGCATTGAACTTCTGCGTCTTTTCACCAAATTCAGAGAACCTTGACTTCACGCGTTTTTCCTTCCCTTTTTATAATGCAATAAAACCCATAAAATACTCAAACATTGGCACTGGCAGCATCAGATGTAGTGTTAAAAATTTACCATATTGGTAGCATTTTTCTTTTGTAGTAAATTGAGAGCAGTACCTTATTTTCTTCAGGCAATCACATAATTTCTCTGCATGTGTTTATTCTCTTCTTCATTTTAAGTTGTTTTTCATAAGGGAACTCAGTCAAAGATAAATCTACAAAGAAAGTTTTATGAACCTGTTGTAAAATGTGTCACAGCAATAGTTGCAAATTTAAATTGTCACTGGAAATATTGGGGTTTTTTCCTGTGGAATAAAATCTAGATTAAAATTGGTGAGAAGGAAGGTTTGTTTCTGATGACTTTTATGAAAGGTGACAGTAAAGTGCAGTTCATCTTTTAAGATATTAACAGACATCACTTCCTGGATATGTGTTAATTTTAAACTTTTAAAAACTTTATTAAGTTAATGAGCACATAGTGATTTCTTGTTAAAATCAAGGGAGAAATTGTAAAGGAAACCTACATATTTTTACTATCATTTAATATTATGTAATTATTTTTTCCTAGAATCAGAAAGCGATATCCGAGAGATTAACCTGAAAACTTCAGAACTTACCAAATGTGAATGGTGTAGTGTCCGAAAATTACCGGTAGTTTTCCTACAAACAGTACCATCAACCTGTAGTAGTCTGAGAGACCAACTGAAAATGAGTAAAGATAATGTCTGGTACGAATGTAAAGGAGAAAGTAAGTAAAGCAATTTTAGTCTACCATTTCACTTTAAATTGTGTTTTAATGTTTTGGATCATGACTGAGTGCACTAAAGAATAAAACTGGCATTGTTGGCTGGGGCAGGTGTAGTGTTTTCCCAGACACAATTGCCTTCCCAGGCTGATGAGCAGTACAGTTCAGAACAGCTTGGCAAAACTGTAGTCTTGTTTGTCCACACACATGCTAGCTCCAACATTTAGTCAGTTTAGTATAACTTTTTAGACTAATACTTGTGCTGAATGAAAGCAAGTTGGTTTGTTTAGCTTTTGTATGCGGGCTTTTGCATTTATATAACAGCTTTTGGTATACTTACTTCTGCTTTCTGTGCTGTTCTGCTTACAGGTCTTAGTTTAAGTAGAAACTTGTGTGGGTTCGCTTGGGTTTTTTCCCCGTGTGCTTGTAGTGATGGGATGTAGACAAATATCTGCTTGGAAAAGTGGATTGTCTTCATGTATCTTAAAATTAAGTTTAATTTCAACATAGTTTTCCTCAAGGATCTAGCATCTCAATATGCACGCTATTTTTAAATTTAGAATAGAGTCATCTTCCCCTTAAATAGGCTTTTCTTTAAGTTAAATTTTGTGGTTATTTATACTTGTACTCAGCTTCATAGATACATGATGCATTCAAATGGAGGAAGAATGCTTTCAACAATCTCAGAATTGCGTGCTTCCAACATACAATACTGTTATAACAACATCATCCACCTCCTACAAAAAGTAGGAGCTGTAAGGAGTATTATGATTACAAAAGTAATTGGAGAGCATGTGGGGGAGCTAGAGGCAATGCTGGGAGCAGGCATTACACCCCGGGTAAATGCAGTGTTCACAAGTGAAAAAAGGAAAAGCTTCCTGAGTTGCCGGGGTAAGAAATCCTTCCCTTTCCATGTCTCAGCCTTTCTCCCCCAAGCTTTTCCCTCTGAGGCTGTGGTGCTGAGCTAGTTTTACAACCCCCTGCTTTAGTGTACTTGATACTTAGGAGTACTTTGTGATAACACAGTTGCTATTTGCTTTGCGAGCAATGAAATTACTTTAAGCTTGAATCCATAGCTGTGTAAGCAACTGTGTGTAGATGCCTAGTTCCCAAAATAGAGTTCCCAAAACCCAGTTAGACACCTAATTCCTGTGTGCGGTGAATTGGGAAATACACTGTTGAAGAATTGTTTTTCACAACAGTTAGCATGCCAAGTTAAGAATAACCAAAAGGAAACTCTTTTTCTCTTACAGAAAAACAGGTCTCTGCAGCTCTGAGTTAGCCAGCTACATGAGACTGGGTTTTGCAAGCACAATCCCATTCCTGTGTCTGACTGCCTAAATAATTCTTTAGTGTAACTTAGTGCTTTTTTTACTTCTCTGGTGATGTGAGTGGGTGATATTTATACAATAGCTGTTTGATCCAACTCTCATTCCCCAACATTTTGTAAAGGTGCAGGCTGACCTGTTGAAGCTAACCCACTGTACCAAAAGAAGTACAAGATTTATTAGGGCTAGCAAGAGTAAGCATGAGAGAACACCTGATGGTATTGAGTTTGCACAATGTTCACTGTGGACAGAGAGGTCTTGGTTTGTTTATGTTATAGGGCCTGAAAGCAGGGCTTTGCTCTTCTAGGTGGTGAGATCCCTTTACCTGTGTAAGGAGATGAAGATTTCGATTACTGTGACATTTTAAATTCATTTTCTTGTTCAGATGCATACTTTTTAGAAATGAAAACTGGTTGCCAGTGGATTGGAGATCCTTAAGAGATTTCTGTTTTCTATGGTAACAGAAATCTGATCAGAAACAAAAACCTGTTTCTTCTGTGAAATTGCTGTTACAGGTTTTTGTACTTAGGTACCCAACAGCACGTGCCTAGAATCAGTAAGAGTAGTTTTGTTAGAACTTTGTGCTTCTAATATGTGTACACAGTTTGTATCCACTTTTTAAAAAAGCATCATGCTTATTTTCCCATTTAAGTCTGGAAATGGTTGTCTCAAAAATATACTTCCCCTCACCCGCAGTATTCTACTCAGTTCAGTTTCTAAGCAGTGGTTTAAGTTTTGCATTCTACTTGCTAGCTGCCCCAAGTAGTATTTTTTTTTCAACCTGTGGCTGTTTCTGAGAGAATCTTTATTGTCTGAAAGAGCTGACATGCAGATGTCAGTGCTATATATCCATGTAAAAGTGATTCTTATAGACTGTTCTGGCTAAAAGACTTGGGGACCTCTGGACTTAGATACTGTAGTGACTTAAATATGATTTTCAAAAAGCAGTAATGGTTTATAGTGTAGCCTTCTAGGATCAGGATAGACCATGAATCTGCCTGAATCATGGGGTCTCATATACTGTTTTTTGTTTAATTTAGTATATGTTTTCTTACTTCTCTCTTTTTTTTTTTTCCGTTCCCCTTTTGCAGTCACATCTGTTTGAAAGTAGGAGAAAACCAGACTGAAGTCTTTTAAAATAAAATACCATGTTGATGTTTAAGGGGTTAAGTAGATGAAAACCATTTTTATAGTAAACATTGAGACCATAGAAGCTGATCTACTTTCTTAATACAGTTCTCCTTTTCTAATAAATTTCCACAGATGAATATATCTTCATTGATTTTTGAGACATACTCTAGACTTCTTAGTGTTGACCTGGTAGAAATTAGGGCATGGTATTTCCCTATATAGAGAGGAAATTATGCTGAATACATGATTTCTGGAATTGTATTGAAACAATAGGATAGGAACCATCATAAGAAAAAGAGAAAGTATTGATTACAGACTCTTAATGTCAGTAAGCAGAGAAGCTGTTACTGCAAAATATGTTTTGGCTTTGCATTCAATGTCTTTTTAAAAATTATCAGGTGTAAAAATTAACATTTCTAGATTAAGGCAGAAGCTGAATGCACTCTTTTTTGCAAATGTAGGGAGAAGGGTTTGGTAGTTAATCCTTCAGTCTGCCTGCATACATGTGTATTACTGCTAGTAGTTATTGTCAGCAGTGCATGCATATGTTGGCTCATGATTCTTTGAAATCTGTTTATAATTGCAACTTTATATTTTGTTTCTAAATGAATAATTTTCTCTCTGCTTTTTCGTAGGTCAAGAAGAACAGTACATCATTTTGATTTTTGAAACTGGTCTTGATCCTCATGCAAACACAATATTTGAAAAAATAATTAATAGGATTGGTGTGAGAAATAATATTTCGAACTTCTTTGTGAAAATTTCTTTTGAAGAAGCCAATGGCAGGCTTGTTGCATTTACTAAGTGTTTGGAAGACAATTCCAAAGGCAGCCCATCTCACAGAGAAAACAAAATAAAAAATGTAATTATGTTTTTCTTTTAGAACAAAGTCATTATATTATTTCAGTAATAAATACAGTAACGATAGTGTGCTAGTCACTAGACAAAAAAAAAATAATTCCAACAACTTCTGCTGTCTTCTATATGAGGATTCCAAGACTGGTCCATGGTGGGTCATGACACTATGCAAAATAGTCTGTGCACTCACAATACTTTTTAATGTGTTTAGTTTGATCATAAGATTGTACAGTGGTCCACAAGTAATGTTGTCATTTAAAAATTATTCAGGGACAAGAAATTTGTACTATAATTAGACAACATAATTGTTTCCAAATTCATCTACTGCTAAAATTATACTATTTCAAACAAGAAGTTAAGTTGCAGTGTTGTAGTTAATTAATGTTTTCTTCAAACAAAACTACTTATTAAAGAATTTTAAAGTTTTGTGTGTCTGCAAGAAATGAGTACAGACCTAAGTGTAATAAATGAACTAGGAAGGGAAAAAACCCAAACTTTAAGTCCTTCTCAAAAGCAATGGATATTACACTGCTGGACTTCACAAAGCTTTATTACCTTTTTGGTAAATTTGAGCATGGTATGCAAATTAATATTGACTCTGTTCTTTTAAGGTTGCTTCTGAGTCTAAAATGCAGCAGCGAAATAAACAGTTACCATATTTTGATGATGATGAAGAAGTTGGAGAACCACATACAGTATTTATTGGTCCAATAGAAAAGTAAGATTTTTATCTTTGCCCTGTAACAATTCTCTTGAGGGTCTTTTGGCATTTCGTATTTATTATTGAATGTATTTTTCTTTTCAGGTTGATAGTTTATCCACCTCCTCCAGCTAAAGGTGGTATTTCTGTGACCAATGAAGACCTCCATTGTCTAAATGAAGGAGAATTTTTAAATGATGTTATTATTGATTTTTATTTAAAGTAAGTTTTGTTTCCAATCAGTTTAGTTGTCTTTTACTTTGAAACTTGGAAAGTTCTGACAGTAAAAATTCATAGGTCAGTTGATAACACTTGGTCTCCAACTTTGTATAGCTCTAATTTTAAAGGGTTTTTTGTATTTTTGCCAGAAATTTTGGTTCCTCCTATCCTGTCTGACAGTGACATTGTTCTCACTTGGAAAAAAAGTTCTTTAAAATTTACTTGTATCTGAAAAGGAACTAACTGCAAGGAAAACAAAATAGTCTTTTATAGTTAAATTGTTTTTTTCAGAGTATTTATGTGCCCTGGAATTGAATTTGTTTTGATTAACGTAACACATCAGTTCATTTTTTGGTGTTGCTGCTGCAGATGTTAGAAGCACATTAAATTGTTACATGCTGCTGTGTTTACGCTATTTGTAAGGTACCTATGTATAATTTTAGTCCATTCAAATACTTTAGAGGTGAACAGAAAATTAGTGCATCACTCTGGGAGTGTTTGGAAATTTAGTGGCTCAGTTAGAAAATATGGGTCTTTCAGATAGGTTATATGCAACAAACTCATTGAATTAATTTTTTCCTGCCATGAGAAAAAAATGAATACAACAACAGCAGGACAACTTGTTGATTGAGCAGAGCACTTAATACCTTGAAATACTGAGACAGATATTGCATTAAGGAGTTCCTGTGGTTAGTTAGCTCTAATATTCTTACAAATATTTTGTGAGAGGCTGCAACAGTTTGGTGGGGAGGTAGCACTGTCAGCAGTCCTTTTGACTCTGGTGATGAATATTTGGAGTTAACACCTCCATGAATTTTTCTTTTCTTTTTTTTTTTTTTTTAAACTAATTAGGTATTTGGTACTTGAAAAACTGAAAAAAGAAGATGCTGATAGAATACATGTGTTCAGTTCATTCTTCTATAAACGCCTTAATCAAAGAGAAAGAAGAAATATTCATGAAACTTCAAACCTTTCGTAAGTCTGTTGATAAGTCAGTTTTACTAAGAGCTAGGTACAGTGAAGACTACAAGAACAGATATTTTATAGAGATAAAATTGTTACAGACAAAATTACGATACCAACAGAAATCGAGGAAGCATCCAGACATATAACAAACATAGAATTTGACTTGAAAATCTTAAGAAGCTGTTAAGGTGAAAAGACTTGGAAAAGTAGTCTTTCCATTAAAATAAGCCACCCTATAAATCATGTGTTGGTTTCTTCTTGCAGAATACAACAAAAACGACATGGACGAGTGAAAACATGGACACGGCACGTTGACATTTTTGAGAAAGATTTCATTTTTGTTCCCCTTAATGAAGCGTAAGTAAACACACCTTCTTACTGCATTTACAGGGTAAAGGCTTAAGCTTCATAATTCTAAAATTGAAAGTTATGTTTTAATGCGAATTGAAGTTAAGAGAATAATCATATTTTTCCATGTGATAAAAACCAAATAATAATGTAAGATCTTTAAGTGTACTGTTGCAGTATAAGAAGTATTGGACAATATAAAGACTGAGCACAAATGGCCTTTTCTGAGTACTTTTTCTAGGTTTTACCTGGTTCTCTGGAGTTCATTCTTCTAAGCTGTTGTTATTGATAACTTTTGGATTTACCTTTTTCAGTCCTTATTTGTTCTTCTAAGAAGATCTCTTTGATATAGATGATATCATCCTTTAGTTACGATAAACCTGTATCAGAAGAAAATGCAATTGAAAATCTCTACTGCCCTGTATTGGGAGTTGTAATTCTTTTTCTTTATATCCCTTTTTCCTGATATTTTTCTTTGGCCAGGTAGCAGACTTTTAGCATTCCAATAGTTGTTAAGGACTTCTAATGATGCTTGCTTTCTTTAAGATCGGAGCAAGTTATCACAAACACATTTCTGTATTTCACAAAAAGAATCTAAGCAGTCCTTTAGCTAAAATATTTAGGAAAGTTAAACTACTGCCTTTTAAAAATACACAGTAAAAATGTAAATAAAGTAAGGACTGAGAGACAGGAGAATTGTAACTGACTTATAGGCATATCTAACTGATCTTTTGAAAATTCAAAGAATAGGGTGGAGGGTTTTTTTAATTAAAAGCTCTTCAAAGAAATTTATCTAGATACTGTGTCATTGTGCAGTGGGAGGAGATTTTCTGAATCTTCGCTTTTCCTGCCTCTTCCCCAGCTGAATTCTGAGGCTAGCTGTAGAGGGGCAGTTATGAGGTAACTGACCATAGATCTGGCTTTGTTATAAAGTTGTAAGTAAATCCCTGAAAAAGCTGTCCACAAGCACTGACTTTAGCATTTGAGATGCTACGACCTCTGTACAGCCATGGGAAGACAGCCAGTCCTTAGATGATGAAAATGACTCTGGTGTAAGATACTCTTCCTCTCCACTGCAGACTGCATCCTTGCCGTCCCTCCCCCCCAAAGCTTTAAGTACCAGAACTTCAAAGTGTCTATCACTTGAATTTTAGTTGCCTTAGAGTTTGTTATATAATTTATTTTCCACCATCCTCTCTCATGTCGTTCACACATCCATATTGGTTATGCATAGGAGAAATGAGACTGATGGTGCTGCAAATATCAGATAGTGTGACTTAGAAGTCACCTGAAAATACGAAGAAATAGTTCTGTGGTTTTAGAAGAACTAGTTACATTGCTAGTAACTTAGCACATAGTAGTTTTCACTACCTTGTTCATTTACTGTTAAGCAACTAAAGCAACGTCCACCTTAGCAAGTAGCGCAGCTCAGTAGGAGTGAATTTGCAGAACAAAACAGTTTGTACTGAAGACATGATGTTCATACCCTATGTGGGTTGGGAGATTTTGCTTTGGACTAGCTTGGTCTCATAGACTCATCCAGTAGTGATTAGAGCATGAGAAGTGTACTCTTGGTGTGCATATTTCATCTGGAAATTATCCTGGTCACACTTTTTGGAACTGTCCTTCACTGTGAACTGAAACTTGGTAAGCGGTAATAGTAGGACATTCGTTTGCAAAAATGATTTCCTGATATGTACAGAGCAGAAAAAACCCAAGTATCCAGGGAGATGAGAAAGTGGTGGTTTGACAGGAGGTGCGGGGGGAACGGGTTTGGTTTTTTTATTGTTGTTTATTATTGTGTTTAGCTGTCTAGTTGTTGTTTTTTTGTAATCGAGCACTGTTTCATACCTTCAAGGAATTAGTGAAAACGCTAGGAGCACAGAGAATCAGTGATGAGGAAGGAGAACCAGTTAATGCTTGTGGTGTATAGAGAGCAAAGTATGTGCCATTCTGTGTGGTTTTTGGAGAACCTGATTTTCAGATTTTTTTCAACATGCCTTTGCCTGGAGTTCTGTATGTGCGACCTAACATAGTGTAGCAAGGCTTTCATCACCCACTTCTTTCCATCAGTTTATTCCTTGTCTTCATAGGTTATGATCATAGAACTCACAGCCTTGAGTTGTTGAGACTCTCCCAGTGTTTGCAACTTGAGGCATTGCAGCACTGCAGGTATTTTTCAGGAATTTGACACCTGGTTTGATGCTGGTAATTAGTCCTTGTAAACAGAACATTCCCTATGTGATACAAAAGCGGATCAAAAGTATGGAAGAGTTTCTTTGGTTCCAGTGAAAGATCTGCATTCATTGCTATTTATAAAAGGTCTCAAACCTTAATCTGTGGCAAAATTAGTATGGTTGAGAACCAATCTCAGAGTTTCTTTTGTGTCTTGAATTAAGTAGTATGTGAAACAAGTTATTTAGGGTTTGAGAAAATTTGAGAGCTTCTCTCGCATTATAGGAATGCTGCTAATGGTTGCTCCTGATAATGCTACTCCTGTGCTGCCTAGGATGATGCTTTGTTTTCTTTTACAACACAGCTATTTATTCTGGCACCTGTTTTAAAAGTGCATTCTAGAAATGATTGCTTTGAAGTTGCTGGACTTCAGTATCTACTTCCAGGGAGTCTTCCCAGGCTCTCCTGTAAACCACTAGTTTAGGGAATAGGAGCTCATCAACTAACAAGTTGTCAAACTGCAGTAACTGGAGGTGGGCAGGATCAGTCTAGAGGAGAATTAACTTCAGAACAATACAGCTGATTTAACCATGACTGCATCAGTGTCTTTTGGGAGTACAGTCATTTTTTTCAAGTCTCCAATGGAAATAGATTGTTTTCTAAAAGTTACAAGCTATTTTCTTTTTAAATCCAGGTTAACTTTGTGGTCTATTTACCTAACTGGTACATAAAGCATGTACTAATAGAGCACACACAAATTCCAGGGCTTGGCAATACTTAACGTATTCATTTACTAGGTGTGGTGAATCATTGAAGACAAAATGTTTCCTTACTTCACATGCTGCTTTCAAAGGCTGTTTACTTTAACTGCCATTGAGTTTCAGTGGAATTTAGGCTTCATAATCATCTAATTAATTTTTTAATATGTCACTTAGACATGCATTTTTAGCTCCTGCTTTTTCTTTTTTCTAAGACAAATTGAAATGTGGCTTCACCTGGATAATACATAGATAGGTTCTGTTTCGTTATTTGCTGTAGGGAATCTGAGAACCTTCAGAAGATTTCCAAAACGGGTCAGTCGATATCCACTTGCAGTGCCTCAATCCCTGAATTTGCTGCTGCTCCATTTCTGATTGAGTGGCAAGTCAGTGAAGTCCAAAGAGGCAAGCAGATAAGGAGGAGACTGGAGCAAAACTTATCTCCCAGCTTATTTTGTGTTGGGGGATATTACTATTTTTGATCCTGAAAGGGTTAGAATGTCAGTTCTGTGAAGGGTGAGGAGGACAAGAGTTGTGGTGATGGCATTACAAACACTCTTTTCTCCCCTTTTTAAATTCACTGTTGACCAGATTTCTTTAAAAATGTGAAGTGTCATATACAATTGGAAGATCTCATAGGCAGCAGAATATGAGCAATTCAGCTGTACTGTTTGACTACTTGTGTAGCTAGTGCTGAACCACTAGAAAACTTCATACCGCCATAAAACATGAGTTCTACAGTCTCTAATTCATGCAGTTGTAAAGAAAATGTTAAAAAAGAAATGAGCTTTAATTCAAAGAAGGAAAAGAATGTATAAAGTATGAGCAAATTGAAATAAATATTTAGACAGCACCTGTTTTCAACTAACTGCATCGTATTAATGAATTTGTTGGTTACTACTTGCATGGAGTGTTCTTACCTTTAGAGAAGACTGTGAAGGCTTGAGTAAAACCTGCACAGAAAAGTGAACAGCTATTACAATCTATCTTTGATAACTGTGGGGGGACAAGGTTTGGGGTTTTTGTGTGTGTGTGTGCACGCACACTCAGTGGGGTGGGGTTTTTTTACCAGCTTCAGATTTAACCATGAGCATTAATGTAATTGCTAGTTTTTAATGTTTTTTTTTCCTTTGCAGTGCCCATTGGTTTTTGGCTGTCATCTGTTTTCCTGGTTTAGAAAAACCCAAATATGAACCAAATCCCAACTATAATGAAAATGCTACAACACAGATAAAATCTTCCTCTTCAGATGGAGAGAGCAACACACCATCGCCTTTGCCAAACGAGTTAGATGCACAAAACTCGCCTTCCAAGTCCACAGCAAAGAAGACATTGACCAAAAAGTACAATACAGCTTTAATTGACCCAAACACTGAAACAGAGGACAGTGAGTCTTCATGTTGTAGAAGAAGTCCTTGTAGGGGAAAAAGTGCTTTCAAAAAACTAAATCAAATAGACAGTGATGTGGAAGAACCTAACACTGTGGAATCAGCATGCCATAAACTTGACCATAGGACTCCAGATGAAAATGGTATACAGGGTGAATTCACAACTGCTAGCCAATCTATGGGTATGTAATGGTAAAAATATGCATATTTTAATGAAAAAAAATTGGAGATGTCACATCTGTTACTACTTTTGCTATTGTGTAAACTCCATACTTTTAAAGATTAGTATATGGCTGAAGTTTGAGTACTTGCAATATAAGTGATTTATAGGCATTGCGTTTAAAATGTTTTTGTGGCTGTTGACGTAACTGTCATGGTATAAGGCTGGAGATAAAACACTTCTACATCAGATTAATTTTTCAGTTGTGTGACCTTTTTTCACAGAAAATCATTTTGTAGATATCACTTCGCATCACTTAAGACTGTAATCGTTAAGGAAAAAATAGTAGTTGACCATGGATCCTCATAATGTATGTGCATGGGGGAACTGAATTAAGAGTGTGAGCAACCTTAATTCCAGTGTCTTCTAGCATTTGAGGTTTTACTTTAACACTATTAGGTTCCTTAATGTCCTGATAGAAGGTATGTAAAAAGACTGAGAAGAAAATAATTCAAGAAAAATAATTCTCTCACATGACCTCCGGGTTATATTTAGAGAGGCTTTCTCCAAGCATCGCTGCTGTGGAGGCTGATTTCAGTGATCCGGAACAGCATTTGTACCGAAGTGAACAAAGGACCTGATGTACTTTTAAAGGCAGATGAAGGAATTAGGAAAACATTGTTTTCTCTGCTCGCTGCAAGATTTGGATCCCCTTGAGGCACAGAGTACAAAACATCTGGTCATGCAAAAACTTTTACTTTAGTCACTGATAGTATTCCTACAGACTTAATTTACACAGTAAGTAATTGCATATCTTAAAGTAGAAGATCAGAAAAGATTATCAATCCTATGGTCTAATCTGTATACCTCAGGCCATTACAACTTTAAAGTCTTTGTGGCTATAAACACTCTCCTAGTTTCTAATCTAAATTTATTCATTTGCGATAGCATGGTCACTTCTAGAAGGTCTTCAGGGGTGGTGTTGGGGGTGTGCGTGGATCTTGTTTGAATTGATTTTTCATTTTATGTCTGATTGTTACTGTCTATGATATTGCTGCTCTATGATACAGTCTCCTGTCTTGGGTGCTGCTACTGTTACTTGTCTGTAATTAGTTGGAACATACTTTATGACATACTTTTGCTAGGGTTATTTTTTTTCCTTTTTTTATGGCTGCATTGTATTAGTGGCTGATGGTTGTTCTGTTGCTGACTAAAACGCTCACATTCTCTTGCTCAGCTATGGCAGATGATGCACCCTTTCATTAATGCAGACATTCTTAAGGGTCACAGTCCTGGTTTAAGGGTGAGATTCAATTTGAAATTGACACTAAGCATATGTTTAGGCAGCTAAATTTAGATGTGCAGTGTATCTAAACTCCATTTCATCCAGATGGAAGATGAGGATGTAGGCCTTGGGTTTTCTGCCCAGCCTTTAGCTGTTGCTCCGGAAGGGTATGGGTCTTGACTCTTGGCTCTGCCAAATCCATATGTATGTCCTGGATATCCTGGGATATCTCAGAAGACAGCAGGAGCCTCTTTGATAGTATAGTCAATGAAGCCAAGAGACCTCCTCTTCTCATCCTAAAGCAGACACAGAGTAGCTGTTCTGTTGGGTAGCTCTCTGCTTTGATGATGATCTCCACTTAATGTTGTGAGACCCTACTATACACAGGAGCCTGAACTTGGATGTCTTGATCTGAAACTAAATCCTGGTTTTGGACTTGTAAATCAGTAGGAGTTGATACCTAAGTAACTTTGAAGAAATCATCCAAAATATATATTTTCTTATTACTTAACTAGTCCTTTTTATTACTCAGTTCTTGTAGAAGATATGATTCTTCTTGATACCAATTTTTATTTTTTTACGAATCTGTCAGCAATAAGTCACATTAGTAAATGTCCTACTTCTTGTGGTAAGGTCTTTTCAAAGATACTGAGTAAGACTAATTCCCAAGTTTGTCCCTGTGGAACTCCACTGGTAACCTCTTTCCAAAGTGTTACTTCAGTTTCTCTGTTGAAGTATTCTCAAATGCAGGTCTTCTCTGTTTTTTCCATTAGCTAGTTCATTGCCCTATTTACTGTTCTTACAGAAATCCTGGTTTTCTTTAATAAGTAATACGTCCTCCAGTGACACCATGACCAAAACTTTTATTTTTTGTGATTGTTTAGATATATTACATAGCCCTTTTCTAGGAAAAGTTTTCTTATGAAGATTTCAGGTTTTGCTGGCATGAGTTAGTCATTTTTCACTTATTTCCACTTAGTTTATAATTTTTTCCCTCAAAATCTGTTCTGAAGTCTTGCATAGTAGTATAGTAAGACTAGTGAGCCTGTAGCTGTCTGTAGCTGCTTCTTTCACAGATACAGCTATAACATCATTATTCTTTATTTCTTCTGATGCTGTTTCCCAAGTGACTAAATATGTAGAGGCAGTAGGGAGTGAATTTACAGGTACTCTTTTTTTATGTAGCAAACAGTGAAGTTGCACAAGCATTTCTGAGCTGCTGCTCCCAGGAGAGCTGATGGTGCATTCCACCTTCCCTAGCAGCATGTTCCCAAGCTGCCTTTTGCCTTCTACCAGCACAAGTCTTCATATACCTGCACAGCGAATCTGATCAAGTAACTAATTCAAATTAAAAAATAAGCTTGCGACTGACTTTCTCAGTCTGGTCCACTGTGTGTGGCTGTATTTGGTGTTGTGGAAGGAACCAGCTAGGGATGGGAATAAGCAGTTATATTTGGGACCAAATGAGGCTGCCCCTTTTGGTAACAGTTCCAGTTTATACTGTTGCTTCATGTTGTTGCTTGTTGTTGTTGTTTTGCTTCATGGAACTACAGGGTAATTTCATGGTGGGTTTTAGTCTAGGTTTCTAGCATTTTTTTAGGTGTTCCCCAGAATAAGGAACAGTTTCTGCTGTGTTACGTAGAAGAAACTTTTCACTTTTGTTCATATGCATGCATAAAATACTATGTCAGCTGTATCACAGTTATTGCGAGCAATCCTGAGCAAATCTGAGGCATTTAAAATTAGTTTGGTCTTCAATGATGATGTAGTATTTGATGTTTAAATATACTACTATCTCTGATTGATACAGATGGATTGCACAAAATCAGGCTAAACTATAGTGAAGACTCAGCTGATGGCAGTAAACTAAATGAAGATGAGCTTATAGATTTTTCTGAAGACCAAGATAACCAGGTAAAGAATTCAGCAATTTTATTTGGGAAATGCAAACTGTTGTGTTGTATTTTGAATAGGCAGTGTCAAATCCAAAGCATTGGTTACCTACAAAAATTTGCAAATTAGCTCACAGGAGAGGATTGTACATTTGTTCACTAAACTGTTTAATAGGAAACTGCTGTACTGATCCTGCATTTAATTTCGTGAGTCTTTTGCATAGTGACAATACCACACAGATTTTAGTGGAAACTCTGAAGGTCGGCACATTTCTGTCTTTCATTTTCCCCACCCCCATGTTTATCTACCAGACCCAAGGACACGTTGCTCTTCTTTCAGCTGCATTTCCTGGAGATATATAGGCACATTTATAAGCAGATGCTACTCTGTTAGTTTTGTTTCATTGGTGCTTTTCCTAATCCAATTTAAACAAAATGGATTTATAATCAAGTAGTGTTCTTGTTCAGGTTGGAAGATGTTTAGATTTTAGAGCTGTGGAAGGACTGATCATTAAAATGTCCTATCCTGACTCACTACTGGGTATGAGGGCATTATTCCATAGCCCTGTTGCTTCTACAGTGTAAGTTCAATGTGAACAAGCTAGGAGTTACACATTTACTCTTCCTAATTGGCCTTCCTGTTCATGTTCCAGGTGTGTGACTCCAAGTTGTCCAAAATAAAGAATTGGAGGCTATTGAATATATAGTCTAGGAATTACCTATGTTTCATCTTTAAGTCTAGAACAAAAAATCATTTTCCAAAGTCTGCAGCTATTTGTAATGGCTTCCAAGTAGTCTGTATATGTGCGCAAACATAGAAAAGCTCCAGTTTATGTTGAAACCTAACTATGCTTTTCATACAGACTCAACCCACTTCTGTCATGCCACTTGCCCAAACATTCTGTGATTCTCACCTGATGGACGTGCCTTTCTGTCTATTTTGTAGCAGTTAAGAGTTCCCTGAAGATGGAGAATGAGTAGTAGAGTGTTTCCAATCTGAAGTACATGGCATGAAGGCAGGGAAGAAAGCACGTGACCGGCTGTGCTCCTTGAGAGAGGAAAAGAGGCCGAGTTCCCTGGTTGCAGTGTAGCTTAGAACTTAACTCAGGCTGAAGCCATCTCTGGTGTCTTCTAGAATGCACAAAGCAAATATTGAAATGGTAGACCGTGACAGGCTGAACGCACCTTCACATCTGCCAAAAATGGACTTGAGGCTGCAACAGAAACAAGTGTATTTAGGCACTAGACAGTAGTTTCTAATATGATAACATCTTCATGGCATAGCATGAGCATGTCGGTCATAGCATCCTGTGCGTTAGTGAGGTGTACATAAGTATCACCAAAAATTTCACAAATCATACTGATACACGGGTTCCTATTTTTGGAAAGCAACTCTCTCCCTATAACACAAAGGTCTGTGGTAGTAATAGCGAACTCGGTAGAAGGGTGAGAAACTATGGATCATTGGGATACTTTTAGATACAGTAACTTAGTGGTTTTGTTCATAAAACTTCCATATCCTTCATAGCAATCAATGTTGAAATCAAAAGGTCAAAGGATGTTCCCAGGCTTGTGGCGTGACTGTATTTGCAAGCTGTGATATGTAATACCATGGCAGTTTAATTTCCCTTCACTAAGAACCAAATTGGTGCATTCTGGAGCAAAGATCAAATTTTACTTCTGAGTTCATTGCAGATTTTGTCTCTTTTCATCTAGAAGATAACATACATAAAACTGCCAAGCAAGTTTCTAGTAATCATTAGCAAGGGAAAGTATTGATTTGGATTATAACCAAATAATGGAGATACACCTCTTTTAAGCCGACAGTGCTTTGAAAATGTGAGTTGCAGCTTTTTTCTAGTTTCAGCGGTCATTAAATAAGTAGCACCATTCACTCCATGTCGTTCCAGCATGGATTTGAGAAACCACATGACTAAAAGTTGGTAATGCAAACTTTACAAACAATGAATGGTTTCAGATTAAAGCTGCCACTTCTTTATTAATCTTATGTTATTGGTCTTGAATAGAAATGGTAAGTATAGCAATAATTTCTTTTGCATCTGTTTGAAAAACAGTCTTAGCTTTTAAACACCTGTAAACATGTTCCTTCTGTAGGAAGACAGTAGTGATGATGGTGGCCTTGTAGATGATAACTGTAATTCAGAAATGGGACAGTCGCACCTGAAGCCTACTATCTGCAAACAGTAAGTATTGAAACAGTTAAAATAGAGATTTCATAAAAGTTTATGAAATTTAAAGGACAGTAATTGTGGGAAATGGTCATACATCAGTCTTCGAACACTTTAATCAGCATGTTATTAGTGTTTGATAGAGAATTTTATACTTTGTAGTATTGTCATCTTCAGTGAGAAGAAAATTTAATGAATGAAACTACTAGTGACATGATAGCTTTTTGGGTTTCTGTTAAGCCTGTGTTCTGCTTCAGGCAAGTGAAGATTGTTTCTTCAAGTAAGGCTGCTCTTTGATATCTTGCACTTAAGAGTCCTACAAAAAGAAGGTGCGGAAGCATGTTCACGTCTATGCTTCTATATTAAAAAGCAGATTAATATCTTTAAATGAAAATAATTAACTTAAATTGATACTAAAGAAAACCTTTGCCACCACTGAAATTAGTACAGGAAAATGGGAATAATTTTAAACTGCCCTCATTTCTTACCTAAATGTGTTCCAGCTGCTTCTTTTTATTGTCTCTCTCTGTTCTTAGTATTATTCTTTTTTCTCTAAGAAAAAAGGTACTAAACTGAGTTACAGGGATTTTTTTGTTTACTTTTTTCACCTGTTTTGGATTTGAAAACTCTTAAAATTTATTTTTTTCCTTCTTTGTGAATATAAGGGTTACAAGAAAGGTGAAAGCTTTCACAATACATTCTTATGGCACAGAGTAAAATTGTATATTTATGGATGGTATGAAATGTGTATGAATTATTCTTAATACATTTTCATGAATGGTTAAAAATCCATCTATGTTGTGAGTTTTAAGAGTATTTGTGAGCTTCTGATTATAACTTCCCTAAATTTGTCCCATTCTGATGATGGATTATCTGTACATAATGCTTTCCACCAGATATTATTTTCATCCAAACATTAAATTTCATAAGACCTTTGACACTTCAGTATCAAGTCATTAAGGGCATTTAAATACTATTAGCATATTTTAAATTACTTCTGTATGATAAAGAAAAGTCACATTGTGTTTTCCAAACTGCTGTAAAATACTGTGTACTTAAAAATTTGTGTTCTCTCTTAGGCCCTGCATTTTGCTTATGGACTCCCTGAGAGGCCCTTCCCGGTCAAATGTTGTGAAAACACTAAGGGAGTAAGTTTCATATCTGGGTTTTGTGTTGTGGAGGGGTTTTTTGTTGGGGTTTTTTTGTTTGTTTCAGTTTGGTTTTTTCCAAAATTCTTCAAGAAAACAAAAGTTTGAATTTGCATGGTCTTTTGTCATAGATATTTAGAGGTGGAATGGGAAGTCAGGAAAGGCAACAAAAGAAGCTTTTCCAAAGATGTCATGAAAGGTTCCAACCCAAAAGTGCCACAACAGAACAACTTCAGTGATTGTGGAGTGTACATACTGCAGTATGTGGAGAGCTTTTTTGAGGTATATATACCTGTTTGTTAACTGTTTGCTTTGTCTCCTGCAGCAATCAAATATGAGCTATTAGCCTTTTATAATTGTAATAATTTTATCTAGTGTAGCTCTTATAGCTATTTATTAGATTATGCATCATAAACTAATTTATACTTTAACACACATAATAATGAATACTTTTTGGAAAATAAACTAATTATCATTATTAGTTACACATATGTATCAGAAATCAAAAGCCATGGAATTTTCTGAGGAAAATGTAAAAAAAATATATTTGGAGTCTTCCTTTATGTTCTTGTAGCGCATACCTTTTAAAATTATCTGGTAAGAAACAGAGTTCAAATTTGAGTTCAAAATGTAAACTAACGATGTGTTACAAAAAGCTTGTTTTTTTTCTCTCAGAAATGTGGCTCCAAATATATTAATTAATGTGACACCGCTAGTTTAGACGTTTTTTACTTGCATGAAAACACATAAGTGGAATGATTACAGGTGAAGGCCAAATCTTGATTCCAGTTAGAGAATGGGTTAAACTCTTCCTTTAACTGTCTTGGCCTTCGAGTTACAGCTCCTTTCACAAGTGGAAGGAGCAGCACCCTCATCAGGTCTGGGTTGGGAGATGGTCAAGTGAGATGTTGCCTGCATGGGACACCAACTCTGTTTACAGTCCGCAGTACTTCAGAGCACTGTTCCTAAACTCTCCTGTAACTGGCCCTTTCCTGAGAAAGCTGACGGTTTCTTCTCCATTCCTCCACCCACCCCCTTGTTCATCCTTTGTATGAGAGCAGCAAGGCTTGAGCAGAGCGTGTTTGTACAAAATGAAGCCCAAACTTGTTAATATGCTTTTGCTTTACCAATGAGTCCTTGACAGCTTAGAACCATCCTTGAGTGCTTCCTGTTTTGTACACAGGGGTTATGAGGAGCAACCAAGTTTTAATAACCTTGACCCCTTCCTTCTTGCAAATTGATTGCTGAATTACATCAGGCTGAATCCCTGGTCTTGCAGCGTGCAGCAGCTTTGCCTGCCAGAGAACAGGGGTGGCATGTAGATGTGTCAGATAGCAAATCACGGGGTATTCTCAGACGTGGCACTAGTGGGAAAGGAAAACCTGTACTGGCTGCACGGTACCTGACTATCTTGCAGTTACTGAACTAATAATTTCAGGTTGTAATGTGTTTGAAAAATTGCACAAAGTCTCATTGTTTTCAGCAGCTGTACAAACTGAATGGGGAGTGCACGGGGAGGAGCACTTAATTTGATGTTTGTGGACTATTCAGGCACATCTCTTTCTTCTCTGTGGATTTATTTAAAGTATCTTCTTTTTAATAATAAGGGTTAAAATCACGATGTGTATTTTGAAAGCCAAGACTCGTTTGACAGGGTAGGTAGTGTAATAAGGAGCATATTTATCAGCTGTCAGAGTAGTTTTTCAGCCCTCCCTTAACACCATGCCTGTTCAGCTTTGCCCTTCGGCCCACGAGGGACAGCTCTGACCTGCCGAATGCGGAGCC